CTGCTTTTGAAGAATCACAGAAATTTCCATAAAAGAAGTGACTTTAGAGCTGCGTTTTAAAGATATAGAATCTCAGAAAGAGGAAATCACAATGTCAATAATTAATGTATATAATTGATTGAATGGTGTTTTTGTGGACCTGCAAATATTTTATTGTTGTTGGAACCTGAAGTTCCAATGAGGAAGTGGGAGGGGATGAGGCGAGAGAGGCAGACTGAGGCCAGTCCATAAACAGCCTTACAGGGTGTGCTAAGGAATTTGATGTTTACCCGATAGACCATGGAGAACTATTGAAGGCGGTTGAGGGGAGAGGGAGTAATGTGGTCATCTTTGTATTTTTGCAAGCTTTATTCTTTCTAGGGTTGTAGTAGTGCAAATGGAAATGAGGGGACAGCTTCAAGAGCCATTAGTACATGCTTGTCCTGCCCTTAGGAAAGGCAAAATGACTGTCATTTTCCTTTGTGTAAAGTGATTTCAAAAATACTTATGTTTTGGGCCGGCTGAGTGGCGCAATGGTTAAGAACTGGCTTGGGACACCAGAGGGCCCCAGTTCGGATCCCACATATGAGGGCCAGTGACACTGCCCTCCACAGCTAAGATGCTGAACAACAGCTCAACCTGGAGCTGGGCTGCCATGAGTCGCCAGCGACGGCATAGGCTGCAGCCCCTGTGGCAGTGGGTTGCTATGGGCTACCGTGTGTAGCCAGCAGCCAGCATGAGTGGCCAGCAGCCGCAGTGAGCGGCCGTCCAGAAGCCAGTGACTGATCTGCCTCACTCGGGAAGAGCGCAATGATGGTGCCAACTTGGGCCAGTGAAGCAACGTCCTCCACGACTAGACTGAAAGAACAAAATGACAGCAACTTGTCTGTTCCCCTTCCCCCAATTCCCCAGCACTGTTCCCATCCCCCCAATTCCCCAATAAAAATCTTTAAAAAAAATAATACTTATGCTTTTAAACATTCCCTCCACATTTATAAAACGTATTACCTGAGGTAGAATTCCCCTATCTCAGACCTCTTTAATGTTTTTGTTTTCAACCCACAACAAAGCCAGTTAAAATCTATTTGATCTCCATCTTAGAAAACTTAATTCTTAATTGGTAAGATGGTTTTATACACTCAGCAACGCACTAGTAAATGCTTAACCACCAGCTCTCCTAGACGGGAAGAACCTGATTTGTAGTGTTTGCTGATTTCCGTGGTGTAAATACTACCACCATAGCTAATTTCAAGCTCCCAGTGTGAGTGACATCACTGAACGAGAAGCTGGAGAGAGATGTGCAATATTACATTGTTAGGTAGCATTTCCACCACACATGTACAATAGATGTGTGTGACTCAGAACGCAGAGAGTAGCATGTAAAATAATTAGGAAGTGATGAGTTGTGAGTTTGTATTACCTTTGTTTTTAATATAATTCATTTTAGTGTACATTTCTATAACAATTTTTAATAATGGCTGTGTTTAACAACCAGCAAAACTCCTAAAAATGTAATAATCTGCTCTTGGGAGTCAATACAAGCCGGCCCCAGCCCATCACTGCACATACTCTTTTCCAAATAATTGAAGTGATACTTATTCATCCAACTTTCACTGTTTTACATGAAAGTAGAACAATCTGTAAGTAAAGTGCTGGAGGGAAAGCAGTGCCACCTGAGGAGTGACATGATGTGTAAAAAGAAATGATAAGCCGATTAAGAATTTTAATATCCACTCTGCTTTGCATACTTATTATCATATGGCCATACTGAAATAACATAAAAGACGATCAGTTTCCTGTTTAATATTGATCAAAATTATAAATATTAATCAAAATTATAAAACATGGATTTTCTTTTAATTTGGCTAGCTCATATTGTAAATTATGTAAATAAAAATGAAATTATTTATGGTCTGCATAAAATAGGACTGAGTGAGGGCTAGAGGGTAACACTGCCTATTAAATACCTTCAGATTGTTCTTTCTATTAAAATACCTGTGCTTGACCACTGCACTGTACACCTGAAACTGAAGCTGAATAATATTGTGTGTCAACTATAATTTAATATATATATAGTCATTGCATATGGAGTATAGTATAGGAAATAGAGTCAATGGAATTTGAATAGAGTCAATGGAATTGGAATAGATATATGCTATGTCATAGGGGCAATAGATTGGGGGAGGGGGTTATCACTTTGTGAGGACTGAAATGTCTAACTATTACATTGTTTTGTACACCTGTAACTAATAGCCAAAAAAAAAAAAAACCTATAAAAGGAAAAGGGAAAAGCAAGTGCAACTTTGAAATAAGTCACCATACTGAACTCACACAACTCTCTATCAAGGAACAAGAGCAGGTCCCAGTTACGGCAAAGCAAGTGATTCAGTTTAAAGGTCCATGCAGACAAGCCACCAGCCACACGTGCCCCAGCTACAGCCAGTGTGAACACGTTGACATATGCTAACGCTTGTCCCTCTGCATGTAGGGTGGCTTCTAGTACCATGGGCAACTGCCAAAGATCCCCTCAACATCTCTAAAACTGATGCCGTGGGAAGCCAGGCGGTGATGTGGGAGTGAGAACCAGGTAGATCTGGGTGGGATCCAGGCTTTACCTCATGCTGGTTGCTAGTTTGGGGACAAGTCACTTAAGTTCTTTGAACCTCTGTTTCTCTAAATATAAAAGGAAAATAAGAATATCAAGTGCTGTTGAACATAAGACATATCAAGTACTTCACATAACAAGTGGTAATGACATTGAAAACACAAACAATGACAACCAAAAATCCATTTAGGGATGTATAAAGATGAGTCTCCCTTTTCCCTGTCCACCAGACACCATTAGCTACTTTGAAGACAAGCAAATGTTTCTAGGCTATTAGCTTTTCTTCTGGTTTTATTCTTTTTTTTTTAAGATTTTATTGGGGAATTGGGGAAGGGAACAGTGTTGGGGAATCGGGGAAAGGGAACATTGTGTTTTTCCAGGACCCATCAGTTCCAAGTCAGGTTGTCCTTCAATCTAGTTGTGGAGGGCGCAGCTCAGCACCAAGTCCAGTCGCAGCTTTCAATCTAGTTGCAGTGGACATAGTCCACCATCCCATGTGGGAGTCAAACAGGCAGTCCTGTTGTTAGGAGCACGTGCTCTCACCAGCTGAGCCATCCAGCCACCCATTGGCAGCTCAGTGGCGGCTCAGCGGCAGCTCAACTCAGGCGCAGCTCATTGGCCTATGTGGGAATCGAACTGGCGATCCTGTTGCTCAGAGCTCGCTCTCTTAACCAACAGCGCCACCCGGCTGGCCCCGGTTTTATTCTTAATGTTGCCCAGATTAGAGGATCTTTTCTTTTTCTCTTTCTTTCCTTCCTCCTCTTCTTCAACAAATGTATCTTTCCACTGTGCATCAGGAACAGTGCTAAGCTCTGAGTACACAATCTGAGAAGAACAGGAGTAGTAGCACAGCCGTAGTAGTAATGAGTAACAATAGCTAACATTTATTAAGCACTGACAGTTGAATAAAAGAAGTTCATCCCTGCCTTCACATGGCTGACAATCTAGCGTGGGGAAACAGATATTTTTAAATGATCGCTCAGGGCCAAAAATTTCATAGGGTGCATATTGCACTATTTTTCTCAATTTTTCAGTATAGGAGACTGAGCCCCAATCAAACCTACATGCTGATAAACAAAAAAACAAAAAAACCTACCCTGAATGAAGAGACTGGTGGAGAAAATGTGAGAGAAAGGGAGCAAGAATGTTATAGATATCCTTGGATATCCATATTCTTATTGGTACTATGTATGGGGACAGGTATTAACTAGACTTCTTATGGCAATAATGTCATAATATATATAAATATCAAATCATTATATTGCACAACTGAAACTAATATAATGTTATAGGTCAATTACACCCCAATTTTAAAAGAATACATATTATGGATAAATGGTTCAGGAATAAATTAGGATACAATTAATTTAAAGTTAATAATACAATTACAAGATAGAGTCTGGGGCTTTTTAACCAATAAAGCAATTTGGATTCCTTATAATCAGCTCTCAGTTAGGATGGGTAATGAGTATTTTCTACTTAAACTCTACATTTGTTCCTAATCTTCCCACGTTCCACCAAGGGACAATAAATTTGGGTTCATAGAGCCTCATTGACGGATTCCCAGCCTGGGATCCATGAGTGTGATAATGGGAGTCTATGAGCCATTTAATAGTCGAAAAACACCAAGACTCCACGTTTACCTGCAATAGGCTGCACAGACTCATTAAAATGTTATGCTTCTTTGCTTTCTTCAGGAATTATATCAAGTTATTGCAGTCACTGGTTATCTTAGGCAGCTTAGCTATTCATGGCATCATAGAATTTATTCTATGGAGTTTATTGGTAAAATATTGTTATAAAACATGGGGGAGGCATTGTAATAAGAGATCTCTGGTTATGAAAAGCTTAGACATCCAAGCTTCGTTCAAACAAAAGGAACTTGGCTAGCTAATTGAGCAGTATTCTGCATAAATAATTTATGCAACAAAATTTTCATAAATTTCTATACAAATGTACATTTCTCTAGAGAGAATAAGAGAGTTTTGCAGATACATCTGCATCTCAAAAATGAACCATTTCATAAAAGACCATTTTAACAACTTTTAAATTTTATAAGGGATGCAATTACTAGATGTTATATCTTGGACTTCTGGGGGGTCACATGGAAAGATACATTGTTCTTTGACTTTGATTTTAATTCAGGGTTTCAATGAACAATAAAAAGATATAATACTTAGTATTTATTCTCTTTTTTAGTGTGTTTTTTTTACTTTCAAGGTATGCCTCACATGAGATATTCTAACCTTGTCCACTGTAATTAATCACAGGTTTTTATGTTGCATTTCCATAGGAGCCTAAAATAATTTGATGCATGACTTCCCCCCCCCAGTTTCTTATATTTACTAGTAAGCTATTTTCATAACTTCTTTTAACAAAGTTATGAAGATTAATATGTAATATGTTGCTCTTACAGAATTATGAAATTTCATGTTGCAAAACGGAAGTTTAAAGAAACATTACGCCCATATGATGTCAAAGATGTCATTGAACAATATTCTGCTGGTCACCTGGACATGTTATGTAGAATTAAAAGCCTTCAAACACGGTAAGCAAGGGAAATGTTACCTGTTGAAAAGGAAAGGCATAGAAAACTATCTGGGAGGTACTCTGTAGTAGAGAAAACTCTTAAATTCCACATTTCTAATTCATTTTTAGTGGACAACTGGATTTTGCTTTTAACTAGATTTCATTTAAGGATGTAAGTCAAGCATTTAAAGTCTCCAACTAGTCTCACAGTTTCCTCATCTGTACAAAGGGGCGTAATGTTAGTGCTTGCCTCATAGGGTGTCATGAGGATTGAATGAGTTAACACAAGTTAACTGAGTGCTCGATAAATGTTAATGGTTGCTCTGCTGTCATTTGAATTATTGCTGCTGTTGTTTTTTGTTATTATCTAAACCCTCACCATCCTTTAGGGATAACCTAGTCTTTCTCCTTTGTTAACTTTACCTGACTATCCAGCCCACAAAGAGACCCTTCCCTTCTCTGACCCCCTAGAGCATTTAGAGTCTACTACAGACCGTCATTAAGGCACTCAGAATCTTGGTACCCTGTGCCAGGGTCAAAACTGGAAAATGACTGCTTGGCTCTTGTATTGTTTCCTGGTTGCAAGTTTGTTCTCCCTGCTCCTGACTAAGACGGTCCCTTCGCTTCCTCCATGTCCTGTCCTATACAATGCTAGATACACTGTCTTCCCAGTCAGCATTTCATTGAGTGAATATCAGGAATGAGTTCAACATGTTATTCCAACTATGTGTTTGAGTGTATTACCTTGAAGCCATCGGTATTTTAAGAATCTTGTTTCACTGCTTTGGGCTGAGAAAAAGAAAACTTGCAAAAAATTATGACAAATTTAGGTCTCAAAACCACTATTTCCATTCACATTGTCTTTCAGAGGCCTCGAAATTCTGGATAGGAGAATAGAAGAAAGTATTCAGATTACTTGATTATTTTGTTTTGAGTTTCCTTTTTTTAAAAAAATTACTTCTATACATTTTTATTGTGGCTTGAAACTTAGTTAAGAGTAGTGTAGAAATACACGAGCTTTATCTCAATAAGGATAAAACTTCAGGAAAACCTCAACAAAAAAACCTTGAAAGGTGTACACATTTTATCTCTCTCTCACACACACACACACACACACACACACACACAAAGGAATCTTTGTTCACTATCAGGCACAAATTACCAGCATTTGTGATTGAATAGTTCTTAAAGTACAAGGACTGAATCTGAAACATTTGTTTATATGCTCACAGCACACTTATCCCAGGGTGAGGCATATACTAGGCCCTTAGTAAAACACCTATTGATCAATTACAGAAAAAAAAAAAAAAACACTATTTGTTCATTCATTCAGCAGATAATTATTGAGCCTGTAATGTGTGCCAGGCATTGTGGACATCCAGATGTTAATAAAATAATAACTCCTATCCTTTTGAGCTTTCAATTTAATAGGCTAGATGTCATGACAAAAGGTAGGCACCACCTCTATTTCTATGCAGACAAAGTAAACTGAAAAGTTGAGTCAGTACTCCTGATAATTCAGTTGTAAAAGACATAAAAAAGAAGAAAGTACTGTAATTCCCATTTAGGCTGATCAAGTCTCCTTGGAAATTGTTTCAACTCACCCTGCGGTCATGTTACAATCTTTGCCTAGGTACTAACGGTCTTCTAAGTCTTTTAATAGAAATATCTGTGGCTCCCAAGGTGTTCATAAAATTGAGCTGCTACGGAATTTGCAGAACTAATCCTCAGTTTCTAGCTCATGTAGAGTACATTCTCTGATTAGAATTCCAGTAGCTTTCTTATCTGCTCATCTCCCACATTATCAGATGTACAATAAATGTTCATGGAATAATCTATTCTATTAACATGAAATAATCATAATTATGATTTTTTTATATTTTAAGTAGTTGAATTCAAGAAATACTTGGTCAGAGATGGAAACAGACAAATTGCTTTGTAGTTTAAAACAATTTTGCCTCTAGAAGATCACCCATAAGTGATTTCATCGTGGACCAGAATAAAGAGAAAATTAATTGCATGTGTAATTCTTATGTTAAGAAAATAAGCACATCAACTGAAGCAGGTTCATTTTTATTTCATCATACATAAATTAAAGATAATTGTGGGGTCCGGCCAAGTGACTCAGTTGGTTAAAAGCTCGCTCAAGAGTGCGAGCTCTGAGCAGCAGGTTTGCTGGTTCGATTCCCGGCCTAGGCTGAGCTGCCGCTGAGCTGCCAACAGGTGGCAGGATGGCTCAGCTAAAAAAAGAAGAAGAAGATAATTGTGTTTAATTTTTCTTTTAAAAACACTTCATTCTGGCCTAGGGCAGCCTCCATCTTCAGCGTTCATAATCAGATCTCCTGTTTCTCTGATAGTGTTGATCAAATTCTTGGAAAAGGGCAAATCACATCAGATAAGAAGAGCCGAGAGAAAATAACAGCAGAACATGAGACTACAGATGACCTCAGTATGCTCGGCCGGGTGGTCAAGGTTGAAAAACAGGTACTATTTTTTAGCCAGATTTTTTTATTTTTTAATCAAAACTGATTATAGGCAATTGGATGTATTTTAGTGATTAGTATATTTTAAAAGGAATAAAATCAAGAAAGAGTGAATGCAATTAAATTTTCTTTGTGTTAGACAGTGTACTCTAAAACATTTGGATTTCCATGTAAGGAATAGAAAATATCATCTCATCAAACAGGAAGCAACTGTAGATTTTCAACAGTAAGATAAAAAAGTATTTTTTATTTGTTTTGGTTATTTTCATTGTCTCTCTTTTAGGGCACTCTTTAAAAAAAAACACACACACACATTATTGCTGTTATGATATACTGAATGTTTGTTAACCCTGAGGCTGAACCTCATACAAAGACAATTTTCCAGAAATCAAATTGCTCCCCCAATTTAATCATAAATATTCTAGGTATTCATTCTGTAGCATTCTGTGCCTTTATTTTTAAATTCAGAATCACCTAGGTTGATTTTAGGTCTTGATTTTATTATAGAATAAGTTCCTTACTACAATGCAGTAGAGTTCCAGAATGTTTTCAGAGAAGAGGCTTAGGAAAGGCAACCTGATTGGGCTGGGAGTCTTGACGTTGTGTTTGTATAGTGCTTCTATGTTTTTTGAGAACATCAATCGTCCCTTTTAAAGAAACGGGAGAGAGAAGTACCCATGGAGATTATGTAAAGACCGAAGCATTCCCCCTTCTAAGTCCTCCCTTGGTCTCACCAGACATCACATTCTAAACTGGTACTATGTGTCAGGACTGCATTATACTTTACACTCAATATTTAACTATATGGGCACAACTTGACTTTGTTTTTTAATTCTAGACATGAACCCCATTCTTAAAAACAGGTTATACTCATATGTAACCATTTTCCCCATTTTTAGGTACAGTCCATTGAATCCAAGCTGGACTGCCTACTAGACATATATCAACAGGTCCTCCGCAAAGGCTCCGCCTCAGCCCTCACTTTGGCCTCCTTCCAGATCCCACCTTTTGAATGTGAACAGACATCTGACTATCAAAGCCCCGTGGATAGCAAAGACCTGTCCAGTTCCGCACAGAACAGTGGCTGCTTAACCAGATCAGCTAGTGCCAACATCTCCCGAGGCCTGCAGTTCATTCTGACGCCAAATGAGTTCAGCACTCAGACTTTCTACGCGCTTAGCCCTACTATGCACAGTCAAGCAACACAGGTGCCAATGAGTCAAAGTGATGGCTCCGCAGTGGCGGCCACCAACAACATTGCAAACCAAATAAATGCGGCACCTAAGCCAGCAGCCCCCACAACTTTACAGATCCCGCCTCCTCTCCCAGCCATCAAGCATCTGCCCAGACCAGAGACCCTGCACCCAAACCCCACAGGCTTACAGGAAAGCATTTCTGATGTCACCACCTGCCTTGTTGCCTCCAAGGAAAATGTTCAGGTTGCACCGTCAAATCTGACCAAGGACCGTTCTCTGAGGAAAAGCTTTGACATGGGAGGAGAAGCTCTGTTGTCTGTCCATCCCATGGTGCCCAAGGACTTGGGCAAGTCTTTGTCTGTACAAAACCTAATCAGGTCCACAGAGGAACTGAATATACAGCTTTCAGGGAGTGAGTCAAGTGGCTCCAGAGGCAGCCAAGATTTTTACCCCAAATGGAGGGAATCCAAATTGTTTATAACTGATGAAGAGGTGGGCCTGGAAGAGACCGAAACAGACACTTTTGATGCCATGCCGCAGCCTGCCAGGGAAACTGCTTTTGCGTCAGACTCTCTAAGGACTGGAAAATCACAGTCATCTCAGAGCATTTGTAAGGCCGGAGAAAGTCCAGATGCCCTCAGCTTGCCTCATGTCAAACTGAAATAAGTTTCTCATTTTCTTTCTAGGCGTAGCAGTTCCTTTAGCCATACATACCATTGCATGAACTATTTTGAAAGCCCTTCTCAAGTTGAATTTGCAAGAAATCAGGAAGAACATGAAAGGCAGTTTATAAGCCCATTATCTTTTAATTGCATGAAAATGCATGTTTCCGGATGGCTGAAATTCCAAGGTACATCAGCAGTAACCCCGCTCATTTAGTAACTGTACCTTGAGTTAAAAACCCTGAGAAACCAAACACTGCTAATGCTGTGGGGTGTATGCAAATTAAGTCATTTAGAAGATTTGACTCTGTATTTTGAAATTCTGGGAGTAAACACCTTCAAATTTCAGCCATTTCTGCTTTGCGATTAAAGACAAAATACATTTTCAAAATTAGGCCATAATGTATATTTCAACACAATGGCTGTCATCAATGGCTGCTAACAAGGTATTGAGTAAAGCAGAATTCAGGAATGATAGAAATGGCTGCTTATTTCAAGATATATTTGCCAACCCATTCCTATTCAGTCATGTTATTATTAATTAATGTAATTTGAATGTCAATGTGTGTGCTTTTGGTGATTTAACGCTGTGGCAAGCAATTTTGCACATCATTTTCATGTTGTTCTTTATGACGAGAATGTTCTTCAATTAGAAAATGTGCAAATCATGAAATTCAGGGCCCGGGGGCATTTAGACTGACTATTTGACACATTTGACTTCATGGAAACATATTCCCTAGTGGCTGAATCAACTTTATAAATGGTCAACTTCCATACAAGCAAGTGAAATACTGATCAATAGCATGGCCAGTGTGACTGGGCTGCTCTCTCTGCAATGGCGCCACCCCAGGCTCGCCAGTACTGCCCACAGAATGGGGAAGCATACGGAGCTATCCCCCCTGAGCTGATACACAGGCAGGATCCCAGGGAATGAGGCATGTGAGTGAGGCTGAGATGGGAAAGGCTTGAGAAGAACCCAGACGCAACACCGGGAAGTAAGTGACGTTCAAGAAAATGACTTCCCCTCAAAGGGGGATGAGAGGGAGAGAGACCAAAATCAAAGAACTCAATTTTTTTTAGAAAATGAATACTGCTAAGGAATTCAACTACCTAAACGTCTTATTCTTATATATATATATAAACAGAATTTTGCAAGGTATTTATTTTTTAATATGCCCTGAATGTTTTTTGCTATTATGTAGTACATTTTGCATATGAAAGGCTCAAACGAAACCTCCTTTACCTTTTATACCATAGTGAACATTTTCTATTCTCCCCCAAGAATGTTGCCCCAAATCTGAAATTATTGTTTCGGCTTCCTGGCAGAAACATTTACAGTTGGAAGCCAGGTAACACTGGCAGGGTCTGCAAATCAAAACACATCATCATATACACTGACAGCAAAAAGCCCAAGAGAAACACAATGAAAAATTTCTGACCTGAAAACAAGCAATGAATGCTGACTGCTCATTAGAAACCAGGCTAGCAGTCTCAGACAGGTAGAACTTCAGCCAAGGTGATGGCCTTCAAAAGGCAGGGAGAAGTGAGACGGCACTTCAGTTCAGTTCAACTCCAGCCACAGAAGGACTTTTAAAAAGCTCCCCCACCCCCTACACCTTGACAGATAGTGCTGCCTCTGGAAAAACTTCTCCAGCCACCCAGAGAATGAGCAAGGATATCAACTAGGCACCCAAAGACAGGAGGAGGCCCTGAAATCCACCAGTCCTTCCCAGCTCCCTCCCACAACTGGCCTTCTCCATCCCTGAGTCTTTCCTTATTTTTCTGCTCCGTTAACTATTTACCAATTCCCTGCCACTATTTTGCTTCTGAACTTCACCAGGCCTTAACCAACTTCCATCCCCAAGTAAACCACTTCTCCACTCTACCTAAAATGTGCTTCTCGACTTTTTTAAATCCTTGTCCCTTTTGATAGACACTGAAATTTTGAAAGCTCCCTCTTCTCACCCACCCCTGAATGCTAGCACCCTCCCCTGGGGTGTATTGTTCAGAATCTTCTTGGCTGCTAGAGACATGCAGAAAATAGAGTCTAAATTTTCCACTCCTCTTAAAAAGATTTTATCACGCTTTTAAAGCAAGTATTTTCATTTTGGAAACGCAGACTCTTAGTAAATTATTAAATGCAATTTTTAATCTACCCATGTCTCCACTCAACCTGAAATTCTGATACACCCTCCAGCAGGGATTGCGCGCGCGCACACACACACACACACACACACACACACACACACACATACGCACGCACCTCCACTGACATAAAGCCAGACACCTGCCAGGCACTCAGAGGAAGAGGAAGGAGGTAGCAACTTTCAGGGAGCACTGATTCTTGGACATATTCTGTCCTGGGTCGAACCCCACTGGCAGCAGGAATTCTGAATGTATTGGGGACCCCTCCAGAGGCCTCTTTAGGCCTCAAACACAGTACAGTTCATCCAGCATTGCTGAAGACAGAAATTCAGAAACAAAACCTATAAACATCACTGAGGTCTTAATCATAGAAAAAGGTGATAAACCGTGTTGTGAAAAACTTTTAGGCATTGAAGCCATGACCATTTTGCGTCTATCTTATTCTGGCACAAAAATCCCTGGATGTTAAAAGATAGTTGTATTGTGTGAAAACTGCAAGGTTCTGTCTGTTGTGTTACTACTTTCTGTGGAGTTGCGGGGTCTCCCATTTACACTTAGCAAAGTCCCATTGGTCAATCCCAAATGGCGTCTTGAAGCACAGTTTAGCTGAGCACTCAGCAGCCAGCCACATGCTTTCTCAGTTGAAGTTGTCTGCCTTCTTCAACATGCAGGGTTGATCAAGCTGATATTTAATTGCAAACATCCCTGATATGAGGTTAACTAAAAAATGTTGCTATGTGTGACCTAAATGTTTGCATTGTGTTCAACTAAATTAATATCTGTACATAGCAGGTTTGTTTAAAGACAACTTTATTGAGTTTTAAAGTCTTTATCTCCTGTTCTAAGGTGCCTTTCTCACCTCCCATTGACTCAGCAATTCTGAAAGTTCTTAATTTGCAGATAAAACACATCTAATAGAAAGGAGGAAATCAGGCACAAAGTGACTAGTATCTCATGCCCGTGTGCAAAGCAAAACTATAAGGAATGATGAAACCTGAGCAACTGAATTAATGGATCACTTACGAAAATATCATAAATATTACCTTATCTCCCCAGAAGCTGATATTTTTTGCCTTAAAATGACTTGGTTGTGTTTTTATAAGAGAAACTTAATTTAATATAATTATGTGCATTTAAGTGAGCAGTTCTGAAAGTCATGTATGACAATGCAATTGTCTGTTTCCTGAAAACAAATAAATCAGGAATACCATATCCATTTCAAGCTACCATTAAAATGTAATTTCCTTTGCTCTCTTTTACCGGGATTATTTGTTTTAAAGTAAAACATTAAAAAGATGTCTATAAACAGCTAATGTGACTGTTTTTTATCTGAAACTAACTGGTTGGTTCTGAACTGACTGGTGGCAGTCAACCAAACTGCCTGTATACAAATTTTGAGCTAAAATATAAAAAAATATTTTTTTGCAATGTTGCTGAAGAAATCATTGGTAATTTGGGGAGAGGTTCGTAAATGTTTTTGAGGGGGTTATAAGAAAAATAATTTGACATTAATTTGATTTTTTTTTAGTTTGATGTATCAAAACTAAGATACCTATGCATGTGAGATTTGTGTTAACTGTAATAAAAGGGTTTGCTAAACAAACATTAAGAAGTGGGGACCAGGCAGGCACCCAAATGCTGCAGCCCTTGGCTACTCAGAATTACCATTTTTGTTTTTTAAAGATTTTATTGGGGAATTGGAGAAGGGGAACAATGTTGGGGAATTGGGGAAGGGGAACAGCCAAGTTGTTGTCCTTCAATCTTAGTTGTGGAGGGCGCAGCTAGCTCAGCTCCAAGTCCAGTCGCCATCTGGCCGCCCATGAGAAACTCGTAGCCGCTCAGCTCAAGGTGCCCTGTTCAATCTTAGTTGCAGGTGGGCTTAGCCCCCCATCCCATGCGGGAGTAGAACTGGCAACCTTGTTGTTAGCAGCACATGCTCTCACCAGCTGAACCACCCTGCCAACTGTTGGCAGCTCAGCGGCAGCTCAGTTCAGGCGCAGCTCACTGGCCCATGTAGGAATCGAACCGGCAACCCTGTTTCTCAGAGCTCATGCTCTTAACCAACTGAGCCAGCCACTTGGCTGGCCCCAGAATTACCATTTTAGCACATACCCAGCTCTGCCTTACCAGGGGAGGACTTTTGCTCCAAAAGGGATTTTTTTCCCCTCTTCCCTAAAAAATCCCATTCCTTCTGTTCCACTAGCAATTTTACACTGCATCTCCATGATTAATTCCTGGGGAATTATTTTAATGGAGGCTCAGAATGTTAGAACTCTGGAATATAAAGCAACAAATCCCTAAGCAGAGGAAAAAGACTAAAGGCGGGGTACCCTGGAGGGTAATGTGAGGGGACTTCCCAAATGGTTCTAATGAGTTCAAACTGGTATGTGCTTATTCTGCCACCTTTTAGAAAGACCAGTGAAAATAAAACTGTGTGTGGAACATGCTTGCTTGACCAACTTTAAAAGTGTAAGCTGCTTCCACACACTTTTGGAACTACATTAGCAGTACCTCTCAGCACCGTCATTTAAAAAGAAAATATACTCACAACAATTATTCTACCCTAACCGTTGATAAAAACAGGCTCCCAGACTTTGAAGTGGCCACTTTTATTAACTTGGTTTCAAATGCTTTAAAAATCTAGTACAGTAAATATTGTTTATTTTTAAAATTTTCCATTTTCATTAATTACAATAAGACTTACCCTCAGCCTACCTGATTCCACATTATTGAGGTTCTTACTACATTTCAAAACAGAAATGTATCAGATACATTATGTGCAAACTATAGGTTTATGCACTGCCCTGGAAATCACAGCATCACAAAACTGGTGAACGGAAAATTTTTTCTTGTTCCAACCAATAAGTAAAACTCCAAAGTTACATTAGTATGATATATTTCTCTTTGCCAATTCACATAGTTCACGTCATTTCTATCACACTTTTGTTGACCATCCTAGAGTATGTTCCAGGATAGACATGAGGGTTCTAGCGTTTCCATACACTGTCACAACTACACCGATTCTTTCAACTTTACACCATTACGCTTTTTTTCTTATCGTTAGTGATACTCATCTCTCCATTACTTGCTGTTTCTTCCCTTTCTTTCCCCTTGCCAGCACTGCTGTGACTACCTTCCTGGATTGCCAATCCTTGCCCAGCCCTGTGGCCCCAAGGGGGTACTCACACCTTCCCCTTGCTACAGCTCAGGGTGCAACTTACCCTCACATGAGTCATGAGAACATTACCCACACACATCCCAGGTCACAGATGATTCTGAACATCTCTGAAGCTCCTCACCTGAGCCCTCTGCGCATTGCTCCAATACTACCTCCCATTACCAGAGATCCCACCGCGGGCAGGACTTGGTGGTGAAGCCTCTGCCACTCCAGGATGGGAACTCCTTGCCTTTAAGGAAGTCTGTTCTGCCCTGGGTTCCCAAGGCCCTGGGTGTCCCTGTCACCCCTCTCCTTCCCCATATCTGCAGCACCTCACTCTCACTGTTTCCCTTCATAAACATGAATAAGCTTCTCCTGTGCTACCAGCAACACTCGAGAACTTACCTTTTTTTTTTTTTCAATTGGGGAATTGGGGGGATGGGAACAGTGCTGGGGAATTGGGGGAAGGGGAACAGACAAGTTGCTGTGGTTTTGTTCTTCAGTCTAGTTGTGGAGGACGTTGCTTCACTGGCCCAAGTTGGCACCATCATTGCGCTCTTCCCAG